TTTAGATATTTAAACTGTTTGACTTTGTTTCTAATTTCCCAAAAAAATAAAGCAAAAAGGCTTTTTTTATCTTTTTTCATTAACATAGGACTTTTTTCTTAATCACCCAACTTAGCACTGTTCTTGCTTAACTACAGAGTTATGAAAGGATTTCGGTACATTAGTGCTAGTATGATCACAAACAAATGGCTACTATAAATCTCACCATTATATTTATCTATTCTAGCTTATACGAGACATTGTTCGAATTTCTATTCGATATTTAATGCTATAATTGCTCTGAATCCCTCTCGAAAACCCAAAACTGTAAGACTAGAGAGAGGGAGAGATCTGTTTGTTTCTTTCAGGGGAAAAGGAGGCTGCAGCTACATAAAAAACCTAGTTTTACAGCCTACCCTAATATTTTTTCACAACAAAAAGGAACATAAAATCCTCAAGACATGCACAGAAATTCTTGATGGCTTGGAACAATTTGAAGACGGTTTTTTTAAAAATTTTGTAAAAAAAATAATAGAAGAGAAGAAAAGCTGAATGGGGCATCTCTAAGGAGTCCTCGAAGTTATCAAAAATTGCTCCGAGACCCAAAAAAATCCCATCTTTTTCAAACCCTAGACATGGATTTTGTCACTTGTAAAGTAATAAAACACACAAAATAGAAACAACCCACAAGAAAATTCAACAAACCCAGATGAGAAATATAGACAAGCAACAAAAATCTCGTACCTTTTTTTTCTAGGGATTGCACAGAGAGAACTTCTGATATGGCCTGAAAGTTCAAGAACAAGAAGGTGGCTAGGGTTTGGTCTGAGATTTATGAATTTTGGGCAAATTTGAATTTCTTTCTTCGTGCAGCCAACAATAACAGGTGAAACTGCCATATGATCTGATCTTTACCTCAAAAAAATTAGGAGAGATTAAGGTTAGATCATGCTGGCAGCTTGAACTGATATAAGCGCACGGCAAATAGTGAACCAAACAAAAAGATTAGGGCAAAAAGTTTGAAGCTTTAATTTTGGTGCTGATGAAGAGAAGATAGAAGATGGAGGGGGGAGGGAGAGGAGAATATATATACACTAAAAAAACCAAAATAAAATCTTGGATAAATTCCTTCTCTTTTTTTTAGGGTTTTCATTAAATTTAGAGTTAAAAAGAAAAAATGATGCAATGAATAAAAACAAAAGCAAAAACAAAACAAAAACAGAGAGTGATAAGTGGTCCAAAAAAGGTAATGCAAATTGAATATTGTCACGCCAAGACTATGGACTACACACCCCCTAATGCAGTTTGCAGATAGGTTAAGAAAGCCTTCCTATATATACAAATAAACCCATTCATATAACTTTTGGTGTTTAGAAGTATATTATAGGGGACTGAGTGAGTTTTATATAATAATCAACGCATCCCCATTGTGAGAACATGCCCTTTTATCTTTTAAAATTACGGGGTTATTAGTCCCGGTCGTGCTTAATTAGTTCTTGCACTTTCAATTTTGTATCTAGCTATAATAGATTCTAAAATTTCAACTTTTCGTCCCATCATTTGGCGCGATGACTTCTATTCGATCATTTGACTTATTTGGTTGGAAAGAAACCATCGCCTCTTTACGGACGTTTCTAGACCCGTGACTAATATGTGGAAGGACATTAAAACAACTACCTTCCTCTGGGTCCACAAAATCGTCATTCTTTTGTAATTACGACATTTCCACCATCTCTTTGAACTGTATTTAGTCTCCTCCTCTTGTATGATTCTCACATACCTTTTTAAATGAATGGTGTGTCGTCTTTTCAAAAATTAAAAAAAAAATCAACTTTGTGTCAGATAGGTTAAAGAATAACCTATTAGGCACACTTCTAGATTCAAAAGCCTATTAGATACATAATTAAAAGTTTAAGGACGTACTTATTAAATACTTTTTAGAGCTCGGACCTATTAAGTAAACACAGCTTCAAAAGGTTTTTTTTTTTTTTTTTTCTTTTGGGGGTGTGGAGATAGTGAAAGGGAAAAATGTAAGCATCTTTTGTTATTTAAGGAAGAAAAGGCTTTTGTTTACAGCTTTGCTATTTTGCCACATACGTGCCATGGGGCTTCTGACTAGTGCCAGCTGCATTAACACAGCTTATTGGGGGACTGATACAGACAATAGGAAAACGACTTATTAGAGTGTTTAATAATAAAGTTAAAAGTTCAATTCTTTGTTGGTGTAATCATTTAATTCATTCTTGCTACGATTATTAGCATTCTTATATCTTTTTAGGCTTAGTTGGATAATAACAATAATAATAATAATAATGATTCTCTTATAGTTTTCAAAAGTTAAGTTAGCTTACAAAACCATACTGTTAAAAAATTCAATAAGTGAAAACCTAAAAAAAGTGGATTATATTGTTTAGACAGTTTGATCATTTCCCTTTTGTTTTCAAAATTGCTTTTAGGGATCATTTTCTTTTCTTTATAAAATTTTTTGGTGTGGGGTTTCCCTATTTGATATCTTACACCCTAGTTATTTGGGTAATGATTCTTTCTGCCTCTCTAGCATGGATATAACAAACTTTCAAAATTAATGACATTTATTAATTATATCACCGACGCTTAGACACCGTGTTTTTTAACTAAGACATCTCTACTTTCACTAAAGTGACAATAAGTTTAAATCTTTTCCATATTTGTGATAAGATTCTCTTGTTCCACATAAAGACTCTGCACGCCCTCAAAAGTATTTAAGATACATATATATGTGTATGATATCTTAGTCAACGATCAACGATTAAGGTACCAGAACCAACATACCTCCTTAAAGATCAAAGGTTCGAATCCTTCCCATCCATTGTGTTGAACTCAGAAGGTATACTAGTAACATAATCCTTCTCTAAAGGTCGAAGGTTCGAATCCCTATCTAATCAAACGCTAAAATCAGTTAACAATAACTTCTTCCCGGATTAGTTATTTGAGGAGCGCTTCCAAAGAGCCCAATTCATAAGAGAAAACAATTAAGGATCTTTCCCAGAAAAAGCAAAGAGCTAAAGTTGGGACCAAAAATTTCCACAGGTGGTCCATATCTACCCCAAATTAAAGTATGATGTTATATCTATATATAAATATATTTGCAGGGTATCTGCCATTAATGCTCTTTCAAACAAGAGGGTAACTAGGAAACCCCTTTAATTTCAACTGCGTGCACAAAAACTAGTGTCTCTTTGCGGGATATTGAGAGAGAGCATTTTAAGCTAAAATGTTTACCCTAAAAAGGGACTGTTTTTCTGTTACTATTTAAAACTATTGGGTCCATTACAACCAAAAGAGAATAACTGTTGGAGTCCAAGTGGTGTAGAGTGGTCCTTCATTGAGCTACCATTGTAAGGTAAGTTTTTTAACTCTCACATTCCTCTTTCTCTCTATGAAAACTCCACTTTTTTCAAGTGTGATTAACGAAGATGTTCGAGTTTGGGGAGAGATGATAGATCGTCTGCCACCACCAAAAAAGTAATGGTGGAGATGAAATGGTTCAGACACTGTACCCTATGGTAGGTGATTATAATGTTCGATTCTTCGCTCTCACATTTGTTGGGTATATATATATATATATATCTTATTGCCACAATTCCTTCGATGACTCGTTGAACCTCGATTTTTTTCCCCGTTAAAGGCGTGGTAACTCTTCTCGAGTTGGGCCATATGAAAGAAAGAATCAAGTTAATCATAGCGAGTTACTTTTAGGACTCAGTCCATTGGGACGAAATCATCCCCAATCCCCAAATGAAATGTTTAAGCTCTAATAGTATGGGATCATGTCAATGAAATCTTCAAATATATTTTAAATAAAAATGGTAACGAGTTTTGGTTATCTTAGAATAAAATTTGTGAATGATAATTTTTTAGATGGTCTTTTAGAAGATTAAGAGAGCCAATTTTGGCCACATCTTATCCAAGGGAGATATTGTTAAGACTTGTCGTATGACTTACACCAGAAGTTTTCTATAATCAAGAGTGTCAACGACCACCTACTAACTGTAATTGAGGTCGTGGGATTCGTCCGAATGGGGGACCCGACTACGCACCCCGCAGGACTCGAACTAGAAAGGCGATAACTTCATTCAACCACAAGCCTACTACGCCACCGCTCACGGATGGGTGATCAGAGACAAAATAGGTTATTCAAGAAGAAACACAATACTAAGCTAATAAATTACAAGAATTTGGAAGAGTGATTTATTGATGCTGTGTTCGAAGGAAAAAATAGTTAAAGATGCAACTAAAAACTATATTATGATAGGAAACTGAAGCAGATTGATGACTTGTTAAACAAATAAGCTTTAGTAATAAAAAAACAGTTATATTAGAAATTTAGTGTCTGAATTTTTAAAATTATGCTAATAGATCCATAATCTTTCAAGTGTTATGTTTAATACATTCTGAATTTTAGAAAATGTCAAACATGTCTCGTAACTTTCAATTTTGTGTTTTATAGGTTTTTAAACATCAAAAAGTATATAATAAGTCAAGTATCTATTAGTGCTATTAGACCAAAAAAAATAATAATAAAGAAAGATTTTGAAAATTTAAGGACTTAATTACTATATCTTTTTTAAAGCTACGGGGCTACAACGTTGAGAGTTAAGGGACTGACACTTTTAAGAATATATTAGACATAACTACGAAAGTTTAGAGTAGTATAAATGACAAGAAACAAGGCAAGTTCTCCTAAGTATGGCCAAAATGTTCTCCAACAATAATTCATGCAATAATTTCAAACTATTTATTTGACTAGTAATTATAACATTGACTTTTCCCCCGAATGGACATTGGGCAATATACATTAATCTAGGACGTTGGATTGGAGTGGTTTGGACATAAATTCATGATCGTAAGGTGGAAGAATAGACTTTACAAACCTTAAAGATAAGGTGGATTTAATGTCTTTATCAGTTTCAAATTTTAGCATTTGTATTCACATACTTAATGGCAGATCCCTAGAAAATTCAGCACTAAGAATAATCAAAGATAAGATTGGAAAAAGAAAAGGGATCACCACCATTGAGTTCAGAACTTTTAGAATAGCCTAAAAAATTTTCCCTTTCTTTTTTCTAAGCTCTCTGGTTGCAACTCAAAATGGAGGGAGAGCCCCAAAACCTGATTCAAATCCCCACAGTGAAGCTGGGAAGCCAAGGATTGGAGGTAAATTTGATCAGTTTTGAGAAATGGGAACTTGGGAAAAACAAAAAAATAAGACTTTGGAGAATCCCAAATCCCAAACTTTGGTTTTGATGGGGAAAAACTTTAACTTTGCAGGTTTCAAGGTTGGGTTTTGGATGTGCAGGACTTTCAGGATCTCTCAGCACTCCCCTCTCTCATGAAGATGGATGTCACATCATCAACCAAGCTTTCATCAGAGGGATCACCTTTTTTGATTCTTCTGATCTTTATGGAGCTAATCATGACAATGAAATCATGATTGGAAAGGTGGTGAATTTTCTTTAAACACAGACTTTGAAAAGTTGTAGAGCTGATGATGTTCATTTTGTAGGCCTTAAAACAGCTCCCTCGAGAGAAGATTCAATTAGCTACAAAGTTTGGCATTGTGCTATTAGGAGGATTTGAATTTGCAGTAAATGGGACACCTGAATATGTAAGGAAGTGCTGTGAGGCGAGTCTTGAGTGTCTTCAAGTTGATTACATCGACCTATACTATCAGCATCGAGTAGACATATCCGTGCCGATCGAAGAAACTGTGAGTCACCCTTAACAATTCTTTGTTTGATGATTGTATTGAGGAGAAAAAGAACCATTTTAAGTGCTTAACGCTCACTATCAGAACTCAATTTGATCAACTTAAAAGTGCATTTTTGCTAAGTTGCTCGCTGCTAACACAAATTTATGACGTAAACTCTTGGTGCATACCCTTCTAGAACTCAACTTAACCCGCTTTAAGATCACCCCAAACACTCTTTGACATAAACAATTGATGTGAGGTAAGTAACTTGAGTATATCTCAACTAATTAAGGCATATACTCCAACTAAAAGGTGAATTCTCACCCCATACATGCCTTGTACTACCAAAAAAAAAACATTTAGTGTCGGTAGCAAACGCTATGCTCAAAATATCTGTGCCATTGCAGAAACCATGAGCACTTTATTGAGTTTCTTTTCACTCTGTTTAGAAACAGAGAAGTCACTTTTTGAAACTTTGATATGGCTGAAGATGGGAGAGCTGAAGAAGCTGGTGGAAGAAGGGAAGATAAAGTACATAGGTTTGTCTGAAGCAAGTCCAGATACCATCAGGAGAGCCCATGCAGTTCATCCAATCACTGCCTTACAGATGGAGTATTCCCTGTGGAGCCGTGACATTGAAGATGACATTATCCCTCTTTGCAGGTGACAATAAGGCAACCACATAATACAAAGCTTTTTAAGTTCTTACCAGAGATGAAGAAGGCGTGTGGTTGTTTGCAGGGAGCTTGGAATTGGAATAGTGGCTTATAGCCCTCTGGGTCGAGGCTTCCTTGCTGGAAAGGCGGTCGTCGAGAGCTTGCCAACTGATAGCTCATTGGTATATTAGTAACAGTCATTCAAAAATTCTCGTACCAAATAAGAATGACGCTACTTACTTATATATTATAGATCTTTTTCCCAATTCCAACATGGTGTCCATGGAATCTACTGTATTTGAAACCGATGGATATGTGTTGTGATGTGTTGACAGGTTTATCATCCAAGATTCAGCAAGGAGAATTTAGAAGAGAATGAAGGTATTTACAGAAGGCTTGCTAATCTTGCTGCCAAGCATCGTTATACCACAGTTCAGTTGGCTTTAGCGTGGCTGCTTCAACAGGGCATTGACATTGTTCCCATCCCAGGTGTGTTTTATATCCTTCTCTCCAAAATGGAGTTGTCTTTATGATATTCTGTTCAACAACATAGCAACAAAATACAGATTTATATAGTGAAATATTTGGTACCAATCTCAAAGTTGAAATGCAGAAACTTTCATCCTAAAATCGTTGGCATCATCCATTTGCAGTGTGATTTCTTCTACATTTCATACAAATAATCTATATATTGAGGCCTCATTTCTTCTATCGTTTTGCATTGTGCAATAGGGACAACTAAAGTTGGGAACCTTGACAGCAACATTGAGTCACTGAGTGTGAAGCTAACAGAGGAAGATTTGAAAGAAATTGGTGATGCTGTGCCAGAAAATGAAGTTAAAGGTCAACGAGAATATGATGTTCTCACTAAATATATGTGGAAGTTTGCAAACACGCCATTAAGGAATTAAAAGCTTTGTTACATACATACTTATGCAGACATCAGAAAAATTTCTAGTACTGACACTATACTTTTAAAAAAAAATAATTATTTAATATTGGTGGACCCTATATTATTAATATGACAGACAATGAATGGAAAGAGTATTTTATACCCCGTCAAGCCCGGACACATTAGGAAACACTTCTTAGAGAATTCACACACATAAATATGTTTACTTTTTAGTATCTTTGTGCAAGATGTGGCTGTGAGGTTTCTCAGCATATAATTTAACAGATAAATGAAAATTCCCAAATGCCAAGTGAGAGAAGTAAATGCTAAACATTTATAGTGAATTTAAGATCTATTTAAAAAAAGTGTCCATTACGATAAGAAACATTAATTATGTGCTTTCTCAAGGTACTTTTTAAGTATTTTTAAAATCTTCAAAACCACTTGTAATTATCAACATTCAACTAAACACTACGAAAATTTTAAAGACTACTTTTAATCAACTAAGTGTGTGTTTGGAAGTGACTGTAGGACGAGAAATTTAAGTATAATTAATTTTCAAAAGCATCATCACAGTAATACCTTAAAAATCAATTTAAAGTGACTTTAAACTTTCCTAAAATTAATTTTTTAATCTGTGAAAAGAGAAGTAATTTTGATAATGGCAAAAGTGATTTTGATCATGCTAAAATCACTTCCAAACACATCCTAAAAATACTTTTCACCGCTCCCCACTCCAAAAATTTTATCAAACTCCCGCTTAGGCTGATGAACCATTCAGCAAATGTTAAATAACATTGGAAAGCCTTGGTTTAATTACAATATGATACTGATTTGATAATTTAATGGTCCCTTTTTCTAGTGATTGGGAAGAACATATGCTCCTAGTTGGCCCTCATTCAACGGAAAAAATGCAACTAAAGTCCTACGGATAAATTGTGAAAGAGTCCAGTCAAAAGCCAAAGCGAACATAGCTTAACGATAATTGACATATATCTCCAACCAAGAGATTGTGAACTCAATCTCCCACCCCTATGTTGTACTAAAAAAGAAAAGAGTAAAGAGTGTAGCCAAAATTTTACAATAAATGGCTACTTGAGAGGGGTTTGGATTTGATGATTCTTTAAAGGAAAATTAGTGAAAGATGCATTAAAAACCTACATTAATTAGAAATGAAGGAAGATGACTTGTCTATAAAAATAAGTTTAATATCTTCCTTCATTAAAGAAAAAAATTATAACAATAAATAAAATTTAATTAATTAAAAATAATGGTAACCTGGCCCTGTTGTCCCACATATGGCCGAAGATGTTCTCCACTAACTATATACAATTTCAAAAAAATAACCTTTGCATCTTACAATAAAATATTAACAATACTTTCAAATAAAAAAAACTCATTGCATCAATTTAATTATTAACTATATATTTTATGAAAAAAAATATATTAACTATATAAAAATTAACCAAACAAATATTCAATAACCTAGCAAGTTGGATTGGAGTGGTTGGGATTGGGAGATAAATTATGCAAAACTTAAAAAATAAGGTTCTCTGTCTTATCAGTTGTTAGCATTTTGCATTCACCCACAGCCACAAAATACTTAAATGCAAGATTCCTTGCAATTGAAAGAACTCAGCCCTCAGAAAAAAACAAAGAGAAATTGTTGAAAAAGAAAAAGGATCATCATGGTGTTTAAACTTTTAGAGTAGAGAATCCAACAGCTTCAAAATTCCCCTTTCCATTTTCACAGGAAATTGCAACATCTGCAAACTAAGCCCTCTGATTACAGCAAAACGGAGGAAATGCCCCAAAACCTGATCCAAATTCCCAGAGTGAAGCTGGGTAGCCAAGGATTGGAGGTAAGATCAATCAATTCTGAGAAATGGGAACATGGAAAAACAAACAATAAGACTTTGAGAATCCCAAATTCGAGAAAAATGTTTAACTTTTCCAAATAAAAGTTTGATCTTAATGGGATATGATGAATCTGTGTGAAATGGTTGCAGGTTTCAAGGTTGGGTTTCGGATGTGCAGGACTCTCTGGAATTTACAACGCTCCCCTCACTCATAAAGATGGATGTGGCATGATCAAACAAGTTTTCACTAGAGGCATAACCTTTTTCGATACTTCTGATCTTTACGGAGCCGATCACGACAATGAAATCATGGTTGGAAAGGTGTATTATCCATAACAAAAAAACTTTGAAAAGTTATGGAGTTTGATAACCTTACCAATTGGCTGAAGATGTTTCATTTTGTAGGCCTTGAAACAGCTCCCTCGAGAAAAGATTCAGTTAGCTACAAAGTTCGGCATTGTGCCATTAGGAGACTTTCGGTTTTCAGTAAATGGGACACCTGAATATGTAAGGAAGAGCTGTGAAGCGAGTCTTGAGCGGCTTCAAGTTGATCACATCGACCTCTACTATCAGCATCGTGTTGACCCATCTGTGCCCATTGAGGAAACCGTGAGCTCTTTCTGTATAGAGTTTTCTACTGCTGAAAGAAAAGTTATAAATCTAGTCCTCAACTTTCAAGATTATATCTCCTCATTCTAACCATTAAGTCCATAATTTAACTTCTTTCGTGATATAAACATTAAGCTAATCTAGTTAATGACACTAACTAACTTTTTAGCATACAGAAACTAAATAAACACAATCTAAAAGTTCAAAGACCGAAACTAATAATTTAACCCAAAAAAATCACTTTTTGAAACTTTAATGGTTGGCTGTGAAGATGGGAGAGCTGAAGAAGCTAGTGGAGGAGGGGAAGATAAAGTATATCGGTTTGTCCGAAGCAAGTGCAGACACAATCAGAAGAGCCCATGCAGTTCATCCAATCACTGCCTTGCAAATGGAGTATTCACTGTGGAGCCGTGACATTGAAGATGAGATAATCCCACTATGCAGGTGAGAAAAGGCAACCACATAATACAAAGTTATATCTCGAATCCTTGATAGACTCGGTGGATCAAGGCTTGGTGTTTTGCAGAGAGCTTGGAATTGGGATGGTGGCTTACAGTCCTCTGGGTCGAGGGTTCTTCGGTGGAAAGGCGGTTGCAGAAAGCTTGCCCAGTGAGAGCTTGCTGGTAAGTTTGTAAGGGAGAGTTCTGAGCAAGTTCTGCCATGGAATCTGCATATCATAACTCAAGGGTGTGTCTGTTTTGACAGGTTAAACATCCAAGATTTGCCAAGGAGAGTTTAGAAGAGAATGAAGCTATTTACAAACGGCTTCTTGATATGGCTGCCAAGCATCGTTGTGCTACAGTGCAGTTGGCTTTAGCGTGGCTGCTCCATCAGGGTATTGATATAGTTCCCATCCCAGGTACGTTATGTATCCGCCTCTTCCTGTCCCAGAAAGGAGTTGTAAGAATGTTATTTGTTGAAGAATGTCAATAATAGATGGCAAGGAGAAAGGAACATTCATGTTAAAATCTTGAATGATAACATTTCAGAATGAAAAGTAAATAAACAAAAGAATAAACTTACCTAATCCATTTCCATGAATGAAGCGTTTAGTTTGCTCTGTTGGACAGTTCCAACTCTTTGTTTCGTTTTCCATTCTGGCAAAGGGACAACCAAAGTTGGGAACCTTGACAGCAACATTCGGTCATTAGGTGTGGAGCTAACACCGGAGGATTTGAAAGAAATTGGTGATGCTGTGCCAGTTGATGAAGTTAGAGGTCAGCGAGAATACGATGTTTTCTCCAAATATATGTGGAACTTTGCAGATAAAGGAGCTGAAAGCCAACGCAAGACCTTTCGTGATTTGGAACTTGTAACCACTGCAGACATATGAGTAAACACTTCAGTTCTCAGGTGTCATGCCCAACACTACATTGAATGTGTTGATGCTTGGATTTTGGTAGATCGGTTCACTCTAAAATGTGCACCAAACTCGATTATCAGGGAATCGAATACCTGCAAAACCGAACAATCCTAAACCAGTGTGACTTTTGTCACACTGGCTCTGATGCCTAAGTTAGCTATGAGAGAAATTACTAAAGCAAGTAAGGTACTTGAAGTGTAATTCAGCTTACCTTCAAGGAGTGACCCCCCTACCTATTTATAGTCGATCTTCCCCCCTAGGGTTTCACGAAATGCCAACCTTAGGTCTGATACATGTGGGCCTATGGGCCGGGACACCTCCAGCAGCAGTAGAGGAGCAAGGACGGGGCTCAGCACCGAGCAGGGGTCAGAACCGAGCCCTGCTCGGTTCGGCTCGTCCGTTGCGGGTTGTTTCGCCTAGCTTAATTGCTCCTTCGCTTGTTGTTTTTTACCTCATAACAGTTCCCCCTACTCTCGAGGTGATGTACTTCAGTTTTTTTTTTGGACCTATCACTTTGAGAGTACATTTATTGGTAGGCCATGAGAAGAGTTGTCATTGTCAATTTTTGGTTTGCACCATGGTTTCGTGGTGGCCGAGCAAGTCTCAGCCTAATGGTGTAACACCATTGGTCCGAGTCGTATTCCTTTGCTTTCTGGGGCTATATAAACCCCTTCCACCTCCTTTACATTCACTTATCCCCTTTACTTCGAGGTAATCTCCCTTCTTTTCTTGTTCTTTGTTGCTCGTTTGTTTCCATGGCATCCGATCTAAACTTTGAGTGGACTGCCTCCGATGACAAGTCATCATCCAACCCTTCTTTTGAATCCCGGTACTTTCGTCCTTCTTGGGTGGACAACTCTACACTCACGGCGAGGGACTTACGCCGTCTCCGCTTAAAATACTGCATTCCCAACTCTGTTAGCCTTCGTCTCCCAAACCCTGGGGAGAGTATTGACGGATCCTACCCCGGGGAAGTTGTATTCTACGCGACCATGTTCAAATTTGGTATTAGTCTACCCTTGAAATTGTTCCTTCAAAACTTTTAGCTTTTAATCAAGTAGCTCCTTCCCAGATCGTCCCTAATGGGTGGTTTACATTGATTAGTTGCTTCATTCTATGGTCTTACCTTGGGGTGACCAACCTATAACTGCGGCCACCTTCATGTTGCTTTGTTTCCTTAAACATAGCCCTAATGACAACTTTCATTTTTACGTTAGCTCGCGAAACCAAATTCTCATTATGGGTCCTTCCTTAGTAAAGCACTGGAAGGATGAGTGGTTCTTTGTCTGTGGTAACTGGCTAGCCCAGGATGACTGTGGATTGCATTTCCTCGTCCCGACGGAGTGTAGGGAGTTAGGTAAGTAGATTCCCGAACTCTATCGGGACTTTCTTACGTCACATTCTGAAATCCCTCTTTCTGCTTCTTTTGTTGACAGTTCCCCATATCTGTGAACTTTCTGTCGAGGCGTTGAACTTCTATCACAATGTCATCCAGTTACCAGACATCGAGCGATGGGGCCCAGACTTGATAAACGAGCAAAACCTGGTAGATTTTGGTTTGGCTCCTCCCCGTCAACCTTCAAGTAATTATCGAAAGTTTATTTTAAATCTGCATCCAGCTGATTTTTACTTTCGTATTTTTCTTGTAGAAATGTCGAG